GGAAAACATTAAAGACCATTTCCAAAGCTTTAGAGTTCTAGCAAAACAAAGCTAAATCAATTAACCCGAAACAGTGTAAAATAAGAGGTGTTTGAACTCGCTTCAAAAGGCGTTTCATAATCACTCAGTTTATAAGAATTGGAGTCCATGAAAAAAAAAACAATAATTAGATAAAAAGTAAATAATGAGAAAACAATTCTCCTACATTTTGCTTAAAACAAAGACAGTATATCAGAAAAAGAATATCACATCTCAAACGTAGTCAGGGGCAGCTTCATTGCTTTCAGCCCCTGGATTAAAGGCCATGATAAACAAAGCTATGCTTGATATTTTTTCATGTATAAACAATTCCTGAAGGAAAATGTGCTGCAATTGGTTTGTTACTTTAAACTTAGAGCAAGGTCTCAAACTCAAGTCCTTAAGGGCCGTTTCCTGCAACTTTTAGATGTGTCCCTTGCACAACACACCTGAATCAAATGGCCAAGCTTCAGCGCTAGCATCAGTCATGCTAATGAGCTCCCATTGGAGTCAGCTGTGTTAAAGCAGAGGCACACTGTTGCAGGGAAACTTTCAAATCAAAATTTGGGTTGGAAACCACTGGGTTAGACATTTCTTAGGGCAATGATCTAAAGCACACTAAGAGGTTGAAAGGAGGAAAACAAAAACAATATTGGGTTTTTGACATAACTTATTGCAGTCCAGAATGAAGTCTGCTATAGATGGCAGCTTCTTTAAAAAATCGTTGTGCAAGACCCACCCAATTTAGGTGATTTATGGCTATAAGAAGGTCATGGGCCAACCCTTAGCAAAAAGTAGTATACTTGAAGTAAATTCTATTAAGAATACGTAAGTATAAGTTTAGAAAGTATACTGAACAATGTACTTTTAGTGTACTTGAAGTATTACTAAAGTAATGCTTCTTCAAACTAAATTTGGACATTTTTAAGTTTACTAAAGTATACTTAAAATATACTTCAGTAAACAATAAAGTAAACAATAGTATAGTCAAGTACACTTGACTATACTATTGTTAAGTATATGAAATATAGCTTAGAATAAGTAAACTCTAAGTGCACTACCTGATTTTAAGTATGAAATTAGTGCACTTTTAGTATACTTGAATAAACTACTTCCTGTAATATACTTATTATCCTATTATCACAAATACTTCATGGCAGTTGTTGCCTCCAATGGCGACGCAACCAGTCATTAGGTTTTACTTTTTCAAGTGGAACAATGTTGGTTAGAAAAAATAAAAAAATAAAATAGTCATTTTAAAATGCGGATTTTTAAAACTGCATCACAACAAAAGGAAATGTAGAATAAATCATTTTGAGGACAAGCTGTTGGTTTATAATTTTAATTATAACCATATTACAATTATTATTTAATAAATAATAATTACTTAAAATGTAGTTTAAGGAAGTCACATAATTTATTTAACAAAATACAAATATTTTCTGAAAATAAGAAAAAATAAAAGCAAATTATAAGCTTACAAAAAAGAAAACTAAACATGTGTACTGAAACATCTTAAACTTTCATTTGAAAGCAAAGAAATCTTCCTATTGAATGGATCATCAAACGTACCTTCATTTCTGATTAAAAAAACACAAGATACAAACGAGATAGCCTTTACTTTTTTATTTATAATAGAAAATGTATCTGCTTATCATGATTATGATGTGTTTTGAGGAAATATATTCATTGGCCTAAAATTTAACTGATAGATTTTAATCATATTAGCTTATAATAAAGGGAGAGAAGTTTATATGTTAAAACAAACAAAAAGGGAAAAAAAAAACCCAAATCAATCCCTCCATTTGTTTTATGTTTTAAGTACTTATCTTCCTCATCGATTAACTTGTGCCCAAAACAATTGATCGACACCAGGAGATCTTGCACTGTTTAGTTGTAAAAGGCCAGATTTAGAAGTTGTGAGCTCAGCTTTTAGCAAATAAAAAATGCTGCAAGAGTTTGAAACTAAATGAATTATATATTTAGTCTGTTTAGATGAAACAAGAGCCCCAACAATGCGGATGCCATAAAAGAAAAGTACATTAGCACTTGATTTTACATATGCACATATCTGATGTATTTCCCATTTACATGATAGTGCACAAGATGACTCTTTGTTCACAGTGTCTCCCTTAATTCGACAAAAACAGAGTCCATTAAAACTGTGATTTTCTGTAACTAATTGCAGTGCACTCAAGCTAGCCTTTGAGGCCATCCTGTTCATCAGCATAACACAGGTGTGTTTACAACACATGATCCATCCATGCCCATTTAGGTGACTGTTTTCAGTATGAACATGTGCATATACACACTCTGATATGGGTAATGAACATTTTGTGCACCTAAACAGTGAGTCATGTGCTGCAGATGTATCGTGAATAGGATGTGGTTTGTGAATTTCCTGTGATCCAGCGCGTTTTCTGGCTCTGGTCTATAGATCTCGGAATGAGAACAGACAAGTCTTTTGGTCGTGTTTTTTAGCATTTGGTTTAAAATGCATCAAACATCTCTGACAAAACAAAAAGAAACTTTCCTCTTATAAGTCATTTTTTTCTATTTTTCATCCAAGCTGTCTTCCTCCCTAAAACACGATGTCTTACAGTATATGTTACAGGAGCCATGCTGTTTTCTTTTTCAAAACCTAAACTACTTAAAACATTTTAATTGACTGCCAGATGGCATGTTTGAAATTAGACTCTTTCTTAAATTTAAATGTATAGAGGAAAGCAATGGAGTATTAAGATGCATTTTTTCTTTATTTCAGAGGTGCTCTCATTATAATGGAACAGAAATGCCCCTCAGAAGAACTGAGAGATTATTTTTATTATGCTTTTTGAAACTGCATCCAGCTGTGCAATGGTGCATATTATGGCCAATATAGATTTTTGCCCAGGGAGGCAAAGCCTTGGGTGGGGAATGGGAGGTTTATTGTTTTCCATTGCCTTTTTTTGCATGTCAGTAGCAATAATAATGTTGTGGCTACATGTGATGATGCTAATTTTGGTATTCATCCTAAAGGATTTAGTAATAAACTGAAGATCTTTTTCAGTAGTGTTCTTAAAAGGTATGTGAATTCAATCAAAATGCACAATATTTAGGTTAAAGTTCAGCAAAATTAATGACAGATTAATAAGCTTTTTTTCTTGTTTTGAAAATGGAAAAATCAATGCATCTTCTGTAGCTCCATCATTGATTGTGACCTGTAGAAAAATACATTATTACAATATTCACACTAGTTTTTTCCCCAATGATTGCATAATTTATTGAAAAAATATAAATTGTAAAATCTTTATACTGCTTTGCAGAGTTATATAAAAAAAATAATAAAAATTTAGCAGAACTGCAAACTTTCCCTGACATCACTGGCTCCCTGTTAAAAGTCATGCAAAGAGATCATTACAGCAAAAACTGAGGTTAAGCTGCAAAGATCTATGTCTTTAGTGGGGAAATCTGTTGTCAGGCCAACTATCAGTTGCACGGCACACATTTGGGCTTTTAAGAAAAAAAGGGGAAATTAAAGAAATTGCTAAAATAAAGCATTACGAAGTTATATTTTAATTCCGCCATACAGGTACAGCTTGTACAGTGAAAGAAATTGGAGTATCATTTGTTTAGAAAAAGATAGTTAACTTTTTCCATATAAAAATTCTTTCTTAGTTGATTTTACTTACCAAGAAGAGTTGATTTAACAAACTAAAAAAGTAAATTTTACTTCCAAATTTCTCTTATCAACAAAAGACATTTGTTTTGATGGAACTTTTAAAACAGAAGGACAGAGACGTACAACCATAAACACACAAGGATCATCTATAGAAGCAAATTTACCTAACATGTTTTTGCACTGTGGGAGGAAACCGAAGTACTGGAGCGTACATGGGGAGGATATGCAAACTCAATGGAGCAAAACCGTTAACCAGGAGTCAAAGCCAGCACCTTCTTGCTAAAAAAATGCAGCACCATGCAGCCAGCAAATAAACAATATTTTCTATTTCTGATCAAAACATCATCAGGCAAGGAAAAGAACACAATTTTCTCCTAATATCTAAGAACACGCTATCTGCATGTGCTAACTTGGCAATTTAAAAAAAGCTTTTGTTAATACTATTTGGTAAGATGAATTAAATTGACTTTTCTTTTGATTGAAATAGATTTACAAATTACTTCTAAGTAACTTGTTATATTGTCATTTTAAAGTAAAGGCACTTACTTTGCAGTAAATAAGGCAATTTTTTACAGGACAAAAGGCTCAATTTTTTGTGTGTGGACATAGAAAACAGGGAGCATATCTATCTATCTATCTATCTATCTATCTATCTATCTATCTATCTATCTATCTATCTATCTATCTATCTATCTATCTATCTATACATTTTAGGAGTTTTGGGGTAAAATGCATTTTAATTGATTTGTTGCGTGGGGATAGAAACATGAACTGACCCAAGGCAGCATGCCTACTGTGTTTAAATGTTCATGTACAAAACTCATAATCTTAGAATGTGGAGAACAGCAGGAGAAACTTCTCCCCCAGTAGATGTCAGTAAAACATTCGATTTTTTTTTCTGCCAATCTCAATATGAAGTTTGTGAAAAGAGTAAGAAGGAAAGAAAACAATGATCTTTAATATCGACGTGTTTATTCACACCAGATGACATATTGAGCAAATTGGCATAAACACAAACATACAGACACTTGGACGCGTTTTCCTTCTGTACGCATCAATTTTAAGGTCTGTTTAGTAAAAGAAAAATAAATAAAATGTATTTTTTTTAGATAAGAATGCGCGTAATGCTTCGGACTGTCCGTTTGTGTGTATTTAAATTGCATGCTGCCACTTGTTTGTTGGAATATAACAGACAGTAAAGGACTTATCGCAGACTTGGAAATGCCTGCGCACCCCATCCTTCTCCATTGCTCTCTCTCTCTTTCTCTCTCTCTGTGCCTCAACCACCCCCGAGCCCCCCTCCCCACTTTTTCCTGTGCAGCCGATGCGCTTCTTCTCTAGAACCGCGTCTCCACAGGCATGTCCTCAGACATGCAGCCACGGTGGCATGAAGCGACCCAAAAGACATCGCCAGGACAGCATCTGCGCGGGTAAGCTCCCCTCTATTCCCCCTTACATTCGGACACATCAAGTAACGCAGTTTCTAAAGCAGATCCATTAAGAGCTCAAAAATTAAAACAGATAGAGTAGACTACGGTCAAGGACATTCCCACAGGAGGATCCAGCTGTTTCCAGTCGTTGAAGTTCAGACTTTTCAGGCGCTAAACTACAACTTGACCGTCCTTGTTCTGATATTGTCCAATTAGTCCTCAAATAACAATATTCTTGTGCGCAAATGGCCAAAAAACGTAAATAAATATTTTGCAGTATTTTAGAAAGTTGTTTCATTTCTTTTTTTAATGAAACTATAAACACACAGGATAGAAATAACTGACTTTACGCAAAGATTGCCAGAAACTAATAATCAAGTGCTTGCTTGATGTTTGCGTGGTCAAGATGATGGAGTAGTGTATTTCATGTCTGATGCTCAGCTGCTTGTGCCATATAGTCTTCTTCAGAAAATTAAGAGGAATTAAACGATGGATGTGGGGGATTTTGTAAACCTATAGGCATGTGAATGCGTATTCCAACTATGGAACGCGATGTCTCTGCGCCAAAACTGTGCGCTATGCGAAAATGCAATTGTTTGAAGCAGACATAATATCATTTTTAGGGCATTATTAGCCACTTTTGGCTTCTTTACAAACACGCGTTGTTTGGTGATTTCAAGGAAAAAACCAAAAAGAAAACAACACCAAAAAAAAAAGAAAATATTATTTTGCGCTCCTAGTGCGCTTTGGATATATGCGCTCTGCTCCTCGCTGCTTGCAAAAGCAACTTGCTTCTTAAATGTACATTTACCTTGAACCATGAAGATCAAAATTAAGTTTTTTTCAATCTCCTATATCTCACGTTTAAGAAAACAACGAATTTTTAAAGGTATAGTTGCCTAAAACAGATCTTGTTACAGAATGCTGACTCGGTTTTATAAGATTAACGTTTTTGATTGTTTCATTTTTAAAGCTTGTGTCTTCATCTCTAACTGACGCGCTCCTATTATGGATCCCGTTGTAGGCAATTGTGAAATCATCAACATTTAAACATTTATTCTAACCTTTACTGATAATCTTCATGTCCGTTTTATTCTTAAAATGGGATAATAGAGGATTTGCGTCGCAGCCGCGCCAGATGTGCGTAAAACGGCGCAACAGATTGGATTTTGGACACGTCTGTCTGTCTGTTTCGCTGGTTTATATTATTATAAATAGTATTCATTCAGCTGGCGGCTTTAAGGCTATATGTAATACAGTGAAGGTATGTTCCCTCCTTAAAAAGGGGTGTACCATTTATTTTGTCCAAATGCTTTTTATTTCTTTTTTTAACCGAAAATGAACTTGGAGCAATTTCATGGTTTCTGTTTAAAGGAAAATGTGGCAGATTTTTCTCCTCCTATGTTTGCTGGGGTCATGCAGTATGGTGATTGTTGGGAAAATGCTTTTAGATTCTGAGAATTCTATCTCACTTAGATGTTTTAGAAAATCCAATTGAATTGAACAGATTTAGAAAAATTATTTGAACGTGAATGGGGAGGGGTTGCTTCTGCTGATTGAGGGGAACATTTTTCCACGATTTAGACCGTTTAATTGTTTAGTTCTGAGAAGAATTTGATGTCAGGGTTTCGTGCTTAGAAAAGCTGGAAGCCAAAACCACTGTTTCCTCTCTTACTTGGGGTTGTGCGTTTGAATGAGCTCTGTGGCTTGACCTTGATTGAGTTACCAGCTGTAATTGGTCTTGTTCCAGAAGTTGGCTGGTGTCACCTTTGATGGTCGCATGTCATGTGGAAAAGTCAATTCTGTGCTCAGCTCTGCAGTTACACAAGTTCAATGATAATACATGTAGATTGGAGTCCCGATTTACGGTATTAAAATGCAGTTTATGATAAGTAAATGCCATATTGTGTAATTTACAACAGAAGTTGAGGCTATGGGGTCTCATTATTCAGTTTAAAAGGTAAACTAAACACAAACGTGCAAGAAGTGTCATAATAGTCGAAGGAATATAATCAGTATGGACTGTTTGGGGTTAAATTTTACCTGGAGTATAAAAGCTAAAGCAATAAACAAAAGCTTGTTCATGATAACATTTATAACATAATATACCAGAACTGATAAAATTCTGTTGTAAAGAATCTGTTACCAGTAAATGGAATATAAACATTTTTTAATTGTTAAGTTTAGTGTTTTCCCAAAAAGATCGCTCTATAGAAACAAACTTTTATTGCTCACATTTTTCATATTAAGGTTTATATTTAACAATTTTTGAAAAACAAAGAATTGAGAATGTAAGTTTGCTGTTCTTTAAAGAATATTCCAATGGAAAAACACAGAACTTTAACTGGTGACTGATGCTTTTCAGTTTCCATGAAGGTCTTTGATGAAAGCCTACTGGGCAACTTTATATAAATGTTGCATTTCTAACCACACATTCATATCTTGCTGCCCACAAGCATGGCAAGGACCATATTTAGGAGGATCCAGCTCCTTTGAGCCAGAGCCAAGGGCCCTTTGTAGCTGGCAGCCCACCTAAACAGATTTCTTTTAAACATGCACATAAAATAGATTGGTACTTATGTCCAACTGCAGGACGCTGCCCAGGTTTGTTTTTAGACAGTCCATTTATCTATTCTAGAAGATTAATATAAAACAGCAGAAATTTTCAGAAAGGTATGTATCTAGAACCTCTGGAGATTGTTTCACAAAGAACAAATCTATAAATATTGAGGAACATTATGGACAATGTATCCTCTTCAGAAGTCTAACAGTGACACAGTGGCTTCATTCAAAGACTTCATTAATTACAAGACAGATAACTACACAAGTTCCTATCTGGCTACAGGTATTGACATATATACAACTCACAAATTGAAATTCAAATTCAACTTTACAAAAAATTACCAAGAAAACATTGAAAAAACAATATCAGGTCTTTATTTGGTGATGTGTCAAAGTTTCAAACATTTTTCTTAATTCTGGCATACAGATTGTGTCTATCACTGAAAACAAGATGTTTAACCCTATAATGCCAAACGTATCGTATTTGATACACACGGTTTCTGAAATGTTTTGCGTCTGACACCTTTTGCATAATTTAATGGTAAAAACTTTGCTCAAAATCCTGTTGTACACAATCAGATATACCTGATAACACAAAAAATAATCTTGACTTATCGCATAGTAATAAATTATTAATATCAAAAATGTATTTCTGGTTTTTCTTTTTACATATTTTGTTAAAAGGCCAAATAAGGAATTCAGACAAAAAAAAAAAAGTAATTTTTTGTTTTGTTTTATTCTTGGATCGGGCTTTAAAGGGTTAAATAAAGATTAGTCAAAAAAATGGAATCAACCTTTAAATGGCCAGACCATCTTTTCTCAGCATGTTCTGAATCTTGTCTTGTTTTGGTTTGGTTAGAAAGAGGATTTTGATGTCTTTAATCTACTGCTCCCAAAACGTCTTGGTTATGGATTACTTCCACTCTGAGCCCTTGTTTAAAATTGGACCTATAGGTCTTAGCAACAATTATTTTAGCTTGTCATACTGTGAAACTTTTGAGAGAAGTACTGGACTTGTGATTGTCAGTTACCACTAATGACGTCTTCCTCCATGAGTGATAGATTAGTTTTACTTTCTGTGACTGTAGAGCTGTTTGATTGGCTTTTTTGGTTGTTGTTGTTGCAGCCGTTGCAACTCATCAACTCAAAATGTAGATGGTCTAACCCAAAGGAATCTGTGATTACAAATAATGAACTCAGAGTCACATATTCTTGGCAGGCAATCATGAATAAATATGTTTGTTTTCACAGATCAAAGTAAGATGACTGTTGTCATTGTTTGTCTGTTCATGAGCCAAACGAAATTAAAGCCTATGTATGGAGAACATCGCCCCCTGTGGACAGAATGCATGTTGACAGGTTTGATTTTAGTTTCTTTTTGTCTTGATCATTTGAAATAATTAAGATGTCACCCATCATTGTGTTTTATAAAAGCAAAACGTGTAAAGAGTGCAAATGACTTGCTTTCTTGGTCATACTTAAATGGAATACACAGAAGAATAAGACAGAAGGAGGAGGCTTAAGCCAAAGCTTCTTCTTACCATGAATGCACATTGAACAGATATTTCTAAATCTTTGTTTTTGGCAGCCGTGGAATCAGTGTTCCAGACCAGGTTCCTGTTGCAAAAGTTAAATTTAGACATTATTCCATGGACACAAGTGTCCCGGTTGTGCTTAGTGAATCTTTGTATCTGGCACTCGCAGAAAGGAATGTCTAATTATCACGCTTTCAACCGCAGCAGGCTTCTCTATTCAGTACTGAGCTCCTGCTGTAATGGCTTTCTTTGTCTATCATTACACCCTTGTTTAATGTCTTTTACATGATTAAAATTTTATTTTTGCCTTATGTGGATCAGCTTGAAGGTCTGTTCACTATCGACTGAGGGTTGAATGAAGGGTTGATTTAAAGAAGCAAAAGCATGACTTAAATAATATATGGAAAAGGAGAAATAAAAGGAGAGTGTATAAAGCGGTTTATGTAATTATAAGCATGGTGTTTACACATATGTGAAACACTTAACTGGATATGAATGTCTCTGAGTCATATGGAGATAAGTTTCATGTGGGTTTTGAGACTTCAGTTATGCAATTGGCCATTTATTTTAATTTTTTTTAAATAAATGGCCTTTTACCACAGAAAACCATTTTATTTAAATATAAATAAAAAAAATCTCAAAGCTAAATATCCCCCAGTTCTATCTTTTCCAATTCCCATTTTGATATGTCTTTGTAACCATTGCTCTGTTGGAGAACTGCATTTTATCAAAGTTCCAACTGCTAAGCTGCTAATTTCAGGTAAAGATACATTTGCAAATAAGCTTTCATATTCATTGCCACCAACTTTGTGCCTTTAACAATTAGCACTGGAGGCGAAGCAGCCCGACTGAATAAACCCACCACCTCCAACATGGTTGACATCAGGTTTGGTCATTAGTGGC